TCCCAGCCCCACACCTCCATCCCCACCCACCCACCCACCCTGCCTCTTGTACTTGCAACAGTTTGACCTGCACCCCCAACTCAGTGTTCTCCATCTCACCACTGGTTCCCCTGGGCTCCACATTCCACACTGCCCCTCCTGTTCAGCAACCCCAATAGACCTCCCATCTGCTCCTGTTTCAGCCCTATCCTGTCTGGGCTCAGCCCCACTCCTCCCACTTCCAAAACAACACACCCCAACGTGGGCTCAATCCTGCCATGCACTCATCTCCTGCCTGCAACCAAGCCCCATCCTGCCCAGTTCAGTTCTGCCCAGCTCCTCCGGGGCTCAATTGGGTCAGGCCACGCCTCACTTCTGCACAGCCATCCAATGGTTGCGCCTTTCCCCTCTCCAGTTGTGCCCGCCTCTCTGAGGATTGACAGCGCCCCTCTGTTGATAGCCCCTGTCTCATCCTTGGCAGGTGTTCTCAGGTCTGCGCAGAGAGCTGCCACCCTCTGTCCGCCTGCTCACACTGGCCCTCTGGGGGCCCAGGAAGCTGCTGCTGCGCTTAGAGCATCAGTTTGCTGTCGGGGAGGGCAACCTGAGCTTGCCCGTGACCTTGGACCTGAGGGTGAGCACAGCACAGGTGGGAAGGAGAAGAGTGGAGGCCATCCCGCTGTGCCCCGCCCCGCTCAGCTGGCCCACCCACTCTCTGCAGGACCTGTTCTCCACCTTCACCATCACTCACCTGCAGGAAACCACGCTGGCGGCCAACCAGCCTCGGGACTGCGTCTCCAGGCTCCAGTGGACAACAACCAAGGATGGGAGCCAAGGTGAAGAAGTAGAGTCCCAAACCGCACTGCCATTGAGCCATTCTGATCAGTAGTGACCCTACAGGACAGAGTAGGGCTGCCTCTGGGTTTCCGAGGCTGTAAATCTTTACAGGTGTAGAAAGACATCTTTCTCCCACAGAACAGTGGTTGTTCTAGACCTGCTGACCTTGAGCATAGCAGCTTAACAAATAACCCATTACCCCCTTCAGGTCCCTAGAGAGTCCAAATGGATTCACATAAAAACACAAACCAAACTCTCTCCCACAGATTAGATGGACTCCGGCTCATGGGCAGGCTATGGTTTAGAGCAGAACTTCTCCTGGGGCTTCTGAGACCTTAAATCTTTACGGGAGCAGAAACAGCCTCATCTTTCTCCTGCACGGATGGATGAGGGTTTGAACTGCTGGCCTTGTTACCAGTTCAATGCACAGCCCATCATGGCTCCTTAACGATGCCCATGGGAGGAGTGTGAAGGCTATGACTGCAGTGTCCTGGTGTGCAGGGTTTAGAAGGTTGGTGTCCTGTTAGGCTCAGCAACAGGGCTTGAGGTCCTGGGGTGACTGAGCACAAAAGAGGCTGTAAGTGTGTATATAGAAGATGATGTCCAAGCTTGAGGGAAGTCACCTGCCTGTCTTGTCCCCTCCTGCAACCTCAGGCCCTGCCCTCCACACCCCTACCTCTTCCCTGGATTCTGCTGCCGTCACGCTGCAGCCCATGGAGATCCGCACCTTCCTGGCCTCCATCAGATGGAAGCGTTCTGCACGTGTCTGCAGCGCCCCCCTCAAAGCCGACGCATCCTCCCCTACAGGCTGGGTGAACCGCTGCCTCTCCATCCTCCTGCTGTTGTTGTAAACCAGCGCCATTAAAATCCCATCCACAAGCCCCAGGTAGGGGAGTAACTG